GAGAAGTAGAAAGAGAGAGAGAGAGAGAGATAGAGAGAGAGAGAGAGAGAGAGAGAGAGAGAGAGAGAGAGTCTGTTCCTCTCCAGCTCCAGCAACCCTGAAGAGCAGGGCTGCACCTCTGGCTCTGCTTCTTGGACAGAGCTGTGTTATCAGACCCAACTATCACCCACAGTCCCAATTTATTCCTGTCCTAATGTAAGGGACCTGGGCTTGTCACTTCCAGGTCACATTCCATCATCAAGGGCATTCAGGGTAGGGACTGAAGCAGAGACCATGAAGGACTGCAGCTAACCCTCCATGGCTCACTCGGCCTGCTTTCCTATACCACCCAGCACCACCTGCCTAGGAATGGTACTGCCCACAGTGGGCCAGGCCCTCCCACATCAATCATTCATCGAGAAAATGCCCCCGCAGACTTGTTTACAGGCAAATATGATGGAAGCATCTTCTCAGTTGGATTCCCTCTGCTTAGATGCCCCTAATTTGTGTCAAACTGGAAAGAAAAAAAAAACAATAAATAAAACTAACCAACACACAGAGGTTGGCAGAGACAGGAAGGGGTCGGGGTTGGGGGCTGTGGCAGACTCTCTGATTTTTCCCAGGACCCAAGGAAAGTAAGTTCTGCCTGTTTGCAATGCTCCTGAGATGAATGAAAGCATTAAGGTAGATGCCACATTCAGAATGAGGGCCTCTGCCTGGCCACACTTCCCTAAGGTGCTAGGTGACCTGCCCCCAAGAAAGCAGCCAGCACCAGGAGGCTGTTTAGAAACTACCCCAGCAGATCATCAGTCATAAAAGGAAGGAGGAGGACGGCCTTCAGGGATGATCCCCAGGAAATAGTCAAGGTAACTGTCTCTAACAATGTGTGAACATGTCACCAGGAGGCAGGGACCTCCTACAGCTCCCTTTGGGCCTCAGAAAGACCAGTGGACAGACAGTATTTGGAAGGAAGCAATACTTATTAGCAGGAGAAGCTTTCTAAGAATTTGAACTACCCAAAACTTAGTGTCTACTGCAAGGGGGAGTGAGGTCCTTGTCACTTAAAGTAACTGTCCATGGGTGACCCAGGGAACTGCCTCCTGGGTCAGAAGGAGGAGCCAGTGGCCCAGAGGATGAACCCCCTTGCAAAATCCACAGTAGTGCATTGTAGAGTTAGCATAGGATTCCATCATCAGGTACATGGATTAAAAATAATTAATTAATTTAAAATAGCACAGGGACTGGAAAGATGGCTCAGTGGTTTAAGAGCATTTGCTGCTCTTTCAGAGGATCTGGGTCTGGTACGTAACACATGGTGGCTCACAAACCACCTGTAACTCCAGTTCCAGGGGATCCAGTGTTGTCTTCTGACCTCTTTGGACACCAGGCATGTACTTGGTACACAGATATACATGCAAGCAAAACACCCACACACATAAAAAAAATATTTTAAAAATAGGTGGGGCCTATCAGGATGAGATTAGGTTGTGGGGTTGGGGCTGGCATTCTCTAAAAATCTAAAAATGATCAGACAGCTTTCCTATTGGAAACCAAATTCTACCCCCTCCAGGCCCATGCCCACTCCTGAAGACTACACAGCCTCCTGCTGATCTGTCTGTGGAGTCTCCACACCCTTCTGTAGCCATAGCCTCTGAGAACCATTATTTGCTTTGTCCCTTCATCCTACAAGCTCTTCTGCAGTCTGCAAAAATGAGGAGCTTTCAATAGGCCAGTAGCTCCAGATGAATTACACCTTCGGGGTCCAGAAAGGGCTATGACATACATAGTCATGAAACCTTCAGAAATGGGAATGGACAGCACAGTGTCCTAAACTCATCAGTTTCCTCATCAAAAGAAAAAATGTTTATTTTTAACTTTTCTTTATTTCACTTTGTGTGTGTTTGTGTGTGTGTGTGTGTGTGTGTGTGTGTGTGTGTTCCTAAGTTTATGTATTTCACTATATGAACACGGATACCTGTGGAGGCCAGAAGAAAGGTGTCCGGCCTGTTGGAACTGGAATTACAGGTGGTTGTGAGTTGTCTGAAGTGGATGCTGGCAACTGGACCCAGCCAGTTCTGTTTCTTAGCCACTGGAAGCATCACTCTAGCCAATCCTTATCAGAATTCAACAAGATTTTAATAAACAGACCATCTGAGAAACTCAACAGGAGGAATCCACACAGAGTCACTAAAAACCAGTCATTCCAGACCACTTTGATGTCTTCACTGGCACATGCATTGGTCCCTTGGACAGAAGGGAGCTTTAAGCAAGCACAGCACATCTTGACTAGCAAAGGCTTAAACTGTACCAATCATGGGAGCCCGTGGGTGAGGAGGGGAGACTTGGCTTCAATGACTGTGGCGTGATATGGGTTTGTGACTCATTAACAAACCAGTCCTGAAGAGTATTGACAAATGAATTAGCAGTGGTTGTGAAGTAGGTCACTGGTGACAAGCCACTGCCTTTTTCTGTGCCTTAGGGATAGCATGCCACCATGTTTGTGGGTCACACAGAGTTTCGAGAAGTAGTTAATGATAAGGAACATAAAACGGTTGCTTTTGACAAACAGGAAGTAGGGGCCCTCAGTGCAAAAAAAAAAAAAAAAGGATTTAATAGGGATTGATGCAAAGTTCTATATTTAGGCTTCAAATCAGTTGTGCGCATTCAGGATGGGGAAGATCTGGCATGTCAGAGGTTCATGAAGGAAAAGATCAAGACGAGTTGGTGTTAATTCCTAAGCTAATTTAAATCTGAATTTTCAGATAATAATAGAACGTCAAACCATAATGCAGGAGTTAAGACAGGATAATCTTAGGCCACATCAGAAAAGGAAGAGGCTTTTGATGGCTGAAGATGCTCGTGGATGCTCTTCCTCTGACCTGTTTAAACCATGTCTGTCCATTCACTCTTCATTCATTCACTCAGTATGTGCTCAGCACACCCTGAGCAATAGGTCCCATTCAGTCATCTGCAAGCTGGTGCTGTCAGATCCCTTCTTTTTAAAGAACTTCCTGCCTGGCGACAGAGACCAGGAAAGAAAACTAATGACTGGCACAGAGTGGGGAGTGTTGGGATGGAGTGAAGTCTTGGGGACCATGGGGAATCAGAAAGAGGACTAAGAGCAGACTCCCCAGAGGTATGGGCCTGTGAGCCAAGTAGATGCTCTCCATGTCACCAAGTAAAGAGAAGGCAACAAGGTAAAGGGAGAGGACTCCAGTGTGGAGCTAGTGGTCTAGGGCAAGTATTCAGGAGAGGAGGTCAGTGAGATGACGAGAGAGACTACGAAAAAATGGAGGTTCTAATGTTCCTTACCATTCACCAAGAGCCTCCCTGGAAACACACCCAGAGCAGTTAAATCAGAGCCATGGGGGTAGAGCTCCGTATCCACTTATTTTTAAGGCTCCCCAGGTGAGGCAGATGTGCTTGAGAGATGATGGGGGGGGGTGGAGTATTGCCGTGGAACATCTCTCAAGTTTGGGTTGTGTGAGATAATTAAGTTCCAGTTCCTAGTTAACGATGTTGTTTTAGACACTCAGAACTCAAGGGGTAAATCTCATATACAGTGTTCTGAGACACTTGGACAAGGTCATGCTAAAAGGCCTCTTGGATCTCCTTGTGGAGATGTCAAATAGGAGACTGAAAGAATCTGAAGTCACAGGAGGGCATAACAGGAGCCTAGCACAGCAAGGTGTGCTGGGTGCTTGCAGTCAGGTCCTGCTGCCTTGAGAGAGGAAGTGAGTTATTCTTGCAGATGTTCAAGGAGAAGCTGCCTTGAAGGGCTGGGGCCAGAGGCTGGGTTAGATTGACAGTCAACTGTGGGACTCAGATTCTGCCCATCAGGAGCCTGCATTGATCTAGCAGAGTTCTGTTCTTATTAGAGGAGATAAGAAAGGCAGAGAGGCTGGGGTATACAGGACTTTGGAAGTCGTGGCAAGTCAGCTCTGTCTTGATGGGGACTGGATGACGACACTTCAGAGTTTGGGAGCGGGATTCAGAAGGCCTGTCTGCCAGGCCACTGGCCAGCTGGGGTGACATTGCGATAGACTCTGCTCTTGGGTGGATCTCTTATGTCCCACTTACAAACTGAGATAGACAGGTGGGCTTCGGTGCTGGTTGGTACCAAGCTCCCACAGAAAAGAGCTCTGGGCCTGATTCTCTACAGAGCAGGCCTCAATCTTCCTGCAAAAAAAAAAAAAAAAAAAAAAAAATGGTTCATGAGCACAACCTGCTCTCCCAGGTCTCAGAACACACAAAGCAAGCTGTAAGTTCCAAGCAATTCTCTGCATGCTTGCTCTCCCAGCCTACGGAGTATTTCCAAATACCAGCAAGAGGGGCATTGCTGGAGGGAGAACATGGAAGCTGCTCTCACTAATTTTAAAAGGAGAATCACTTCTCAGTGGGGCTTTATGGTTAGTCACACCTGCCTGGGAACCTACCTCCCTAGTGAGCTGCCACTAGTGGTTAGTACTACTGCCAGTCGGTGTTGCAAACCTGAGTTATTTACCAGAAGACCACCGTGGGCCACAGAGTAGGGTGGGTCCTGAGCACCTCTCGTTTAGGAGAAGCTGGTGGAGGAGCCAGCAGCATCCTGGCTACACTGGGGATGGATAAGGCCCCAGCCAGGAGGTATGCTTGTGGGTGGGTAGCTACAGGAATCTAGACCTGCTAAGGCTATAGACTTAGGGTGTGACAACGAGGCTACGGAGAAAGACTCTGGGGCATCCTAGGGTTCATCAGCTAGCCTGCTCTGCCTCTCAGAACCCTCGTGGAGCTAGTGTGGAGAGCAGAGACCAAGGAACAAGTAGCTGGTGACCCAGAGTACAGTGCTCTACTTCACTGGAGTTTTGTTTCTCAGAGAGGAGGGAGAGGAAGGAAGAAGATGAGGAGGAGAAGGATGAAGAGGAGGAGGGTGGAGGAAGAGGATGGAGAGGAGGAGAGGGAGGAAGAGATGAGGAGGAAGAGGAGGAGGAGGAGGAGGAGGAGGAGGAAGAGGAGGAGGAGGAGGAGGAAGCCAGTCCAGAGTTCCTCCATACTCCTGTGGAGGAGCTCAGCAGATCTGTGGAACGGTGGGGAGGGGCACACAGATGGACACCCCCTCCAGGGGTGAAGGACAAATGCACAGAGCTCTATGGGCTGCTGGCCTATCAAACCTTTCACTAAGAACTAGCTCTTTCCTTTCAAAGAGGGTGGAAGTCACTGTTCTCTTGTCTCCGTTGATGAACAGATTCTGGGTGGCAGGAGTCACCATAGAAACAGGTGCTATCTTAAGCAAATGAGCCTTATTAACCTTAAGAGTGGTGGAGTTTTCACAAGATTGCACATATAGGGTAGGAGGGAGACGGGGTTTGGTGGGGGGAGGGTCGAGGTGGCTGGGAAGCCATGTTGCTCCGGGGTAGGGAGGCATGTGTGTATGTGTGCCTGTGTGCGCACTGTGTGTGTGGGTGCCCATCTATGTGTTGTGCAAAACTGCTTCTGAGGAGGTAAGCTCAGGTCCTGCCCATCCCTTTCCTTAAGACGTATGCTGTCTCCCCAGTCCCCTCCCCCTGCCAAGAATCCTTCATCTCCTGGAAAGTGGCCTTAAGGCTGCTGGTGCCCAGAGCTCCAGTCATGACCCCTCTTCTACTGCTTGTGGAGACCTTGCCCGTGTCCCCTGGCCTGCTGCACATTAGAAACAGGTGTTTCTAGAGAGAAAAGCCAGGAAGCAGTGTAGTTGAGTAGCAGGAGCAGGAACACAGGCGTCTGGTGGACCTGGGTCCATGTGCTTATGACCCTCAGGGAGCCCCCATCTGTAAAGTCAGATTCACCAGGCACCTCACGGGGCTGAAGCTAGGCTCTCATGAGATCACCTAAGTTCACACAGAACATGTACCCTCAGTACCCCCACCTGCGAATGGCCTCCCTTCTGGGGAGAAAGGGACTCTCTGCCCATTAATATTTCCTCAGTACGGCTTCATCAGTCAACAAACTTGCTTGGGACACCTGCCCCGTTTATGTTCTGGAGGCAGGGGTGGGAGGGAGCGTGTGTGGCTAGAGGAATGTCACAACAGAGAGCCTGGCCCTCAGAGAAGCTGTAGTGGTCGGGTAGGTAAAGAGGTGAGGGTGGGTGGGGCTTTGAAATCAGGTAGGATGGGGATGGGTGGAGAAAGGGGCCATTCATTCAGCTCTCAGTGATAAGTGGTAAAGAAGAATCCTGAGCAGTGAGTGTTGGCTCCAAGACACACATCTGCTGCCCTCTGCAGCCCCTCCTTGGGCAGGACACTCCACTTGAGCAGCTAGCATGCCACCTGCCCCAGTCTGGCTCAGATTCCTAGGAGTAAATCTGAACTGTTGCTCCAGGGACTCTGGCACATGCTATGTGTCCCCTATAGCCCAAGGCACTGTTTATCAGGGCAACTGGCTAGCAGAGACTATATGCCCTAGAAGGACTCTGAGAAGAGGAAATCTTTTATTTCCTTTCTGTAAATCGTCAAAAGCCCCCGGGTTGGGGGGGGGGGTGTGGGTCAGTGGACAGAGTACTTACATGCACGACCTGAGTTCGAATCCCTAGCACTAGGAGGCAGAGATAAGAGGGTCCTAGGTCCTTGTTAGTCTAGCTAATCAGTAAGTTCCAGGTTCAGTGGGAAACCCTGTCTCAAAAAGTAAGGTGGAGAGCAATAGAGGAAGATGGCCAACACTGACCTCTACACACACACACACACACACACACACACACAGAGAGAGAGAGAGAGAGAGAGAGAGAGAGAGAGAGAGAGAGAGTCCCAACACATGCCTGAAACTGGGACAAGCCTGCCACGATAGATTGGCTCTTCCCTGCTTCATAGTCTTCTAGATCTCTAGAAATAGTAGCAGGTTCATCTGGTCATATCCATGAAGACACTGAGATCCAAGGTCCACAATGAAGGAAGGGTCCTAACTCTTAGTCTCTAGTACCCTGACATTGCTGAGATGAGAGAAGCCACCCTCCAGCTCACGTCTGGTGAACCACTGGAGATTAGTAGGTGGTTAGCTCATTCTCCGGGGGTGCCAAGGGACCCATCTTTTGGATCTGACTAATGGGAAAGAAAGGGGAAGCTCACCCCAGGCAGCTCAGCTCTCACCTTCTCTCCCTTCAGAAATCAAAACCTGGCATTTGGGCTTTCACTTGGCCCTGGCTGTGACTTTAGGGGTACCAGAAAAGCTTTCCTCATCCACCCATCTTTAGCTCCAAAATTGTCTTCCCCATTGGCTTTTTAGAACTGCCAATGAATGTAGCATGAAAAAACAGAGTTGAAGACCTGGCTGAAAGGGCCACACACAGGAAGAAGTTGTGACTTGACTTGAAGCCCAGACTCACCTCGTCAGTAAACAAAATGGGAATGTTGCACAAGGAGAGAAGACCAAATTAGGCAACCTGGGAGAGTAAAAGGAAACAGCAGAATATTTACCCTAGTTTGTCTCCCTGCAAAATCTGGTCCTTTGACATACCAATGACCCCTGGAAGTGATGGTTGCCTCCCTGACTCCCTACTTCCCTCCCTCCCTTCCTTCTTCCCAGGGGCATCAAGGTCATGATTTATAGACATGGCATGGAGAGATCAATGCTACTGAAAGTTTTTATTACTCACAGTTTCAACAGGAGTAGGCCTGTCAGGCTGTGCCACACAAGGCCACATGGGGAAGTCCCTGGGTGTGTCAGGAAGCAGAGGTGGCAGAGGAGAGTGTGGCCTGGAGCCTTTTCTGTGGTTTCTGGAGGCAAAGAGCAGAACCAGGGCAAGCAAGTGCTAACGAGCTTAAGATTGGTGAGCTGGCATTATCAGCAGGTTCTGGGGCAATAGGGGTATGCTCCAGCTGTCTGATACCTGCCCTAGAGTGGTGCAGGGCAGGAGAATATTGGCTAGGTATGAGAGAGTTAGGGAAAGGAAGTGATGGAAAGGATGGGCCCAGGGCTGGTTGGTGTGTACGTGACAGGTGTGCTTTGCAGGCGTGCCTTAGAGTCTTTAGGAAGTAGCCAGCCATGGCAGGGACATATTTCCAGAACAAATGAGTCTCAACATATCAAAGTACAAAACACAGAAGACAAAAAAAAAAGTATGGGTAATTCTCTCCCTCACCCCCGGCCCCCTGGCACTCTGTCTCTCTGAACACTGCTCTTTTGAAATGATTCCATTCAAAGTCCACTGGTTTCAGGTGCCTTCCTTGGGACTCCAGGACCTGGCCCTTCCCCCCACCTCCCACTTAGTACAGGCTGTGCCGCACAATTTAGCACCCAATTCCACACTCTCTTGTTCCCTAGCCATCTCAAGGTGCTTGTCCCAGTTTCCCAGCCCCCTGGGAAGCCTCCTCTTGCCTCCTTCCTACACTGGTGCATGTCCAAACCTGTGCCCTGAGCTCCATTGTGTGCATTGGCATCAACTCTTATCCTGTCTAGAGTACCAGTTCTGATTGTACTGCCTTTGATGCTTTTATAGTGGGCAGCCAGGCTAACATAGCATTGTTCCTCTCTTCCCCAAGTCCTTCTGATTGCACAGGCCTAGTAGAGGTCTTCTCACAGCTTCCTCCAATAATCATTCACCCTCCAGCATGGACCACACACCACTGCTCATCGTTTGCAGCATCCTCTGCTCTGGTACTTTGAATGTAATTGCCCCCCCTAATCTCATCGGAAGTGGCACTATTAGGAAGAGTGGTTTGTTGAAATAGGTATGGCACCTATCTGCAAGCATCCTCGATTCCCCTTCCCTCTTCTCTCCCACAGCAAAGTGCTCTGTAGTTTCCAGACTGGCTTAGGCCACAAGATGGCTTCCAAGGAGATCATGAACCTGACTACCATGAGTTTATTGACTTTGGTGAGATGGCTCATCTTCCCGGCCTCAGGATACTGCCAGTTTAGACGACAAATCGGCGGCATGACCACGAAGGCCCCTATGGGCATCACCATCTGGGGCACTGACATTGACTAGATAGCTATTTCTTGACCTAGGCAAGAATGTCTTCTCAGACAGCATGGGAGAAGACATGGGAACTGCGATGGCTGATGCATCCTCTCCCCAGAGCTGGCACCATATGCTGGGTAGAGAAGCCTTCTTTCCATCCCATACTATTGACCATGTCGTTGATAGTTTCAGTAGCAAAAGATGACTTAACCCACACATGACTGACCAGGCACACACCTCCATTCCCCCACCCCTGTATTTCTCAACTGCTAAGTATAGTAGGAAGCTATAGAAGGTTGGTATTAAATAGCCTCAAGAGACTCAAAACCCCATGGAGAAATGAAATAAGCATACATATGCACACACACATACACAGTACACCATCTGAGATTTGCTGGGGAAACCAGATGATCCATAGACCAATAGCCTGGTGCCCATGCCAGTCTAGAATGCTGCTCGTAATGCCTCCTCTGGGTTTGCTGACATCTGACTCTCAGACTCTGGCAACACGAAATGTGAAGCCACATTTGGGTACGGGGTGTCCACCACATCAAAGGAACTGTATTTTTTGGGGCTTGATGGGATTTGTCTGCTTCTGTTGCCATCGTAAACACTCCACATAGTGGTCCTCTTAACCATAGAAAGGCTCTGAAATCACCACATTTCCACATCTAAGAAGCACCTCTTAAAATGTCCTTGACACTTAGAAGCACAGAACCCATCATGTTTGTACTGATACTTCAGAAGGTGTGATAGATCCATTTATATGTTACACTAGTAAATGGGTGGGAAACAGCAAGAAAACATCCAATAAATGTGAAAATTTTCAATGAAATGTTTCAGAAAATATGTGAAAGGCTTGAAGAAATAGGTGACAGATACATGAATATGTAAGTAGGTAGATAGATACATAAATATATGCATAGGTAGATAGACATGCAGGTGTACATGGACACATGTCAGCTTGTAAGTTGATAGTCTCTAATTTGATAGACAATGATGTTATTTCAATCCAATATAAAATTGTTATAGACTGCAGAGAGGATTCAACAGTTATGAGAACTGGCTGTTCTTCCAGAGGACCCAGGTTTAATTCCCAGCACCCACTTGGTAGCTAACCACAATATACCTACTCCAGTTCAAAGGAACCTAACACCCTTTTCTAGCCTCCATGCACACTGCACAAACACACACAGTGCACAGACACACATGCAGGCAAAATACCCACATACATAAAATAAAAATAAATAAATAAATCTTTTCTTAAAAATGTTTTTATTGGAGTTTAAGGTATCCGGTGTTCCCTGGGAGGAAAAAAAGACTCATACGGAATGTTCAAGAAAACTTTGTAAAAGAGGACTAAAGGGAGGAGGTCAGATGGAGCAGTTTTATTGACATTGATGCGTATTGTGAAACTACCGTAATTTAAAGCATAGTTGTGGTGGGAAAATACACAGACATGTCCTTGAGATGGAACAAAAATATCTGGAACCAACTAGAATTTTCAGTCCAGCCTGGAGAGGCCATTTCAAACAGAAGAGAAAGGATGGATTACCCTACAAGAGGTTTTAGGGAAATAGCATGTGAGCCAAGATTAGCCTGGTCTACATCATGAGTTTCAGACCATTCTGGACAACTTACTGGGACCTTGTCTCAAAACATAAAGAATTTAGGAGGTCTGTATCTTGGTGATGGAGCAATTGCCTAGCATGTGGAAGGCCTTGGGTTTAATTACCAGCACAACAACAAGGGTATCGAAGTTCTCATCCCATAATCAAAATAAATTCTAAATTAACCATGTGAAATTAGATATGTGAATGCTATTTGTTTGTTTTGGTTTTTGGTTTTTCAAGACAGGGTTTCTCTGTGTAGCCCTAGCAGTCCTAGAACTATCTAAACCAGGCTGGCCTTGAACTCACAGAGATCTACCTGCCCTCTGCCTCTCAAGTGCTGGGATTAAAGGCTTGGCCCACCACTGCCCAACTGTGAATGTTAATTTTTAATGTTAAATCATAAAAGAATAAAATGCACTAACATTTTTATATAGTTGTGTAAAACCTTGAAACTGTAAGTACAAAACCTTCAAAGGTCAATTAAAAGACAGCGCACATTGGAAAAACACGATGTGCAGATGACAAAATGTCACAGCCATGGAGATATATAGCACTTACAGTGGGCTAATCGCTGCACATACCTCATGGGGTTGTAGGAAGGAAGAAAATGAATAGCATGTAAACTTCTCAGTGTCTGGCATAATACATTTTAGCAGTTATCAATCTATTTTAGCACTCAATAGAAAACATTACATAAAAAAAATAGCACAGGACATAAATAGGAATGTTTTGGGCGGGGCTGGAGATGGGACCCAGAGCCTCATGAATATTAGACAAGCACCCTGCTGCGGAACCACACTACCAGTCCAGAAAATTCTGTTTAGATAATGAAAAAAAGGACATCTATACAGGCAGTGAGAAATGTAGACCAAACAAGAAATCATCTACTTTCCTGCCCCATGGTGACTATGGCCATTAAATTGGCAATTCTTGAATGTGGCTTAGGCTTTTGTGGGGGTTGCTTTTTCAAGACAGGGTTTCTCTGTGTAGCTCTAGCTGTCCTGGAACTCACTCTGTAGACCAGACTGGCCTCGAACTCACAGAGATCCACCTGCCTCTGCCTCCCAAGTGCTGGGATTATAAGTGTGCACCACCACTGGTGGCTTTATTTTAAAATTAATTAATTTATTAATACCCAGGATCCTCTCATATGGTGCTAGTGGCAGTATAAATTGCTGACATCTGTCTGCCAGATGTACCAAATGTCAAAAGCCTTTAAAATGTATACAGGCTTTGACCTAAGGTTCCTTCTAGAAATCTGTACAAAAATTATATTGAAAGGTGATATCTAACAAAATAAAATCGCCCATGTTAGGTGCCGGGTTTACTCAGAAAATTATAGAGGATGTGAACAGCTTATCATTTACAATTCATTTCCAGTAGTTTATGCTACTTACAAATTAGAATGTCACAACATCAAAAAAAAAAACCCTAAAAATTAAAAATGACATCTAATAGTGGCATGTGGAATAGTATGCAGCCATTAAAATAAACATAATATACAAGGACCTCATCAAGATATTTACTCCATGTTGCTATGTGGAATGAAAAAGCCAATTAAAAGTGGTTTAAAAAGATATGGGGCTGAGCTACAGCTCAGACGGCAGAGTGCTTGCCTAGCATACACAAAGCCTTTGTTTCTATCTCTAGTGCTGCGTAAGCTGGAGGTGGTAGTGTGTGCCTCTGGTCTAAATAAAGGGAGATGGAGAGAGGAGGCTCAGATGTCCAGGGTCATCAGCAGCTGCATAGCAAGTTAGAGAGCAATCTGGGATATACAAGGTCTGCACTCTCAAAACAAAAGTAACCTGAGTTCCTAGGCATACATTGGACGCGATTGTGCACATCTGTAACCCCGCCGTGTGGGAGGGA